ACGAGTGAAAATTTTTTAATTTCGATCTATCAAAGTTATGAAATTTGTATTACTTCAAATTTGTTAGGAAAAATTGTTGATGGATTAAATTTTCCTCAATTTCGGCACTTTTGATGGAGGCAATTAACTTTGAATTTTATTTGAGTGAATTTCCAGCGTCGTCTCTGAAAGAAATTTACGCTCAGCGATCCCAAGTGCGGCGAGTGCGCCGAGGTCGGCAATTCGAGTGGTGCTTCCGTTTTCTGTGAATAAAGTGTCACAATCAGTCGCTCATTCTGCCGTTCGGTTCATTTTCAATGTGTTGTGTGATTTGAGTTCACCGGTCTTGTATATGAATAATTATGCTCAATTCCACGCGCGGAATTTATATTTAAAATGGTTTTTTGAACTAATAAACTTGTAATAAAGACGCAAATTCATTTTCTTAAAAAATTTGCCAAACGTAAAAGCTGTTGGTTCAAATTCAAATTGCTCTTTCATGATTATATTTAATAAAATTGTTATCAAGACTCCTGAAATGTGAAATACAAGAAGTGGTAGAGGAAAGCTGAAGGCTGAAAAGCGTTTGAATGGACGCGACGCCTCATTCCCTCTGTTGCTGCTGATGCTGTGAGCGCCTCTTTCGCTCCCCCACATTTAAGTGGAGGGTACCAAGTGAGGTAGCATTTTCTCGTCTGTTGGTCCGACGCCAGCATCAAACTTATTTTTCTGACCCACGACAGCCTAGAAAACAAGTTTTCTGTGGCTGGAGAAGGACCTCTTTTTGTTTTGAAAACATCTCCGTGTCGAATTGGTTATTTACGTGAAATTCTCTGCCAAGTAATATTTTATGGAAACATGCGCTTCACCCTGCGAAACGCCATCGTAGGCGCGTTTTTAACTGGCCGTCCTCGAATTAAATACAAAACCTGTTCTATTAATTGTATACTTTGGTGCGCTCATTCAGAAATTGAACAGCTGCATTTAAAAGAGGCGCTTTCTTAAAAATCTCTGCTCTCTGTCTTGTGAAACAGCTCCAATTGGAAATTTCCTTTATTTACAAACTTGGACCCTTTCCTTAAAATTTCCTTTCCGCGCATCCAATAAATTGATGATGGCCGCGGGCAAATCCTAAACTCACACAGGAAATGCGCCTGGCCGATTTCGTGCCTCAATTCACATTCACGATTGCCATCCTCAGAAAAAAATTTTGATGACTTGCTATAAAATACCTCTCATTTGCCTGATTTATTTACACACTTGAAATTTATAGGTGCGTCGGTCCTACAGTAGAATTTTAATGGCACGTACCATTACTATGAGAATAAAATAAATTTGGAATTTCCCATTTCCTGGCCTCACAGCGGGACATGGGCATGAGGTGCCTTCGCAAATGTTCTAGACTAGACAGTTTCTTTTAATTAAGTGCAGGATGTGGTCTTTTGTAGAAAAAATGCAGTGCCAGTTGCAGAACTTTCTGGGAGCTATTACAATTTGGCGTTTGCCCTCAAGGCACGTCCATCCCACACAGTTTATGTAGCGCGTTTGTAAGGATTCGGGATTAATTTGTTGTTTTCTTTTTTACTTAGCAATGTCACACGAATAATATATCAGTGCGGAGGAGAAAAAAAACCTGCGATAGAAAAATGTTTTCTATTGTTGCCTTTTCTTTTGTTTTAATTATTAGAGTACGAAAATTCTTGAAGCAGAAATTCTATTATCAAAAAAATATTAGTGCAGCTAAATATTGAATTTTTTCTATTTGGCTGTTATTTGTTTGAAAAAAATTGACACTCGATAAGATGATCATGGGAATGAAGACATCAGGCTGTTCCTCGTTGCAGAAATTGTTTTTTTTTTTTATTGTTAAAAAAAAAACAAATGGCGACCCTATTTCATGAGCAAAATATACAAAAAAAATTAGCAAGTTTGAATTTTTTATGTTGAAATTTAAAATGTGGTTTTTTTTTCATGTGAATTCAGTGAATTGAAGTGGATCAAAGTGGATATTCCTCCGATTTCTCTAGTTTGTAGGCTACTTTATAATTAGTTGTAAGATTTATTATGATAAAATTGAAAAAAAAATCAAGTTGTAAAATATAATATTTTCATTTTTTTTGGTTAGGGGTCCATTTCTTAGAAGAAACCTCTCCAGAACATTACTTTATTTCCTCCCTCCTCTCCCTCTATATTGGCAGAAGCGTTTGAATTGGAATTCAGCTGGCTAGCTAATTTGTCAATAGAGAAAAAAATTGCGTGATACGTGAAAAAATTACAAATCGGGCGCTCTCAGCAAAAGCAAAGGTCCATAAAATTGAAGCATAGCCAGCAATTAATTGTTTGCCATTCAGCATGCATCAGCAATATACATGAGAATTTTATTTTATAATTCATTGTGCAATTTGTGCAGCTTCATATCAATTTCACGCAAGTGAAAATTGGCATTAACAGTTTTTGCTTTTTTTTTTATCAAAGTCCTCAAAAAATCCCAACACATCATGTAAATTAATTTTTTTTCAAGTTGGCGCAATATTTTGACATTTTTGCTATCAAATTTCTTTTCTGCGTTGAAAGTTTTATTTTATTATTCAAAAATCATCTTTGAAACTTTGTTTTATTATCCACTGCGCATCCGGCGGATCTTGATTGTGCAAAGGATGTTGCAAGAATTCTCCGCAACTTGAGCATCTGGCCGAGAGGCAATGCTTGTAACACTTGTAACAATGTAAACGGTATGGCCTCTTAATAAATAATTAGTTAATAATTTCTACCATAAATAATTAATTTAAAAATTATTTGAATTTCAATTCAAATTGAAGTAAAAACTTTGTAAATTTATTATGCAGATTAAATTTCTCAATTTAATTATTCAATTAAAATTTAATATGTATTTCTTTCGCATCTGCTAAATTGTGCAAGTGATGATTTCACTTCTCCACTTGCTCCTTAGACTACCGCGAATATTTTGTGCAACAAAATGTGCAAGTTACTTTATCGGCCAAAACTTAATGAATGGTGCTCTTTGATGCGACAGAGGAAGCCGTGCCCGGTAAGGTCAAGCTCTCTTTCATTATCACGCGAGCTAGCCACGACACACCACGAGACACTCTGTTTACCTATTGCTGCTTTTTGGCACCGCGCCCCAATGCATCCCTTGAGACGCGTTTCTGTCATTTCTCTCGCGCCGCTGCTCATCTTTCCCTAAGCGCCGCTACGAAATATTACCATAAATTAAATTTAATTGCATATCCTCATTTGGTCTCGCAGCTCGTCTCACCTATTTTCGTCAACCAAATCTTTATTGAAATTTAATCTCGTGCCCCGGTTCTTGCCCGCCGCCTTCGCTGCTGCAATATTTTTGGGAATCGACCTCCCACGTGATCAATCTGCCGCTGCTTATAATCTCGCGCCCCGGTCAATGAGCAGATTAGTAGCTCATCAGACACACAGTGGAAAGAGCCTGTCACTCATCCACACTGAAACACCCCGGCCGGAACTTTGTGCGCATTTCATTTATCATATTATATTAATGTTTTAGTACGCGTAAGCTACCTGTCATTAATCTACCATTTTGTTCGATTATTTACTGGATTTAGTTAATTAATTTTCCTCTTGGATTTATTTTACTCAATCTAGGGCCATGCTTAGGCCCGATATATTGTACATCATTTACGCTCCTTGATCATCAAAGCAATTGAGATTCTTGGAGTACATTTTAGCCCTGTAGTGTATAGTTATATATTGAACTCTGTATTCTTATTCTACGTAACGAATTAATCAACTATTATTTCAACGCGCTCCGCGCCCGCTCGTCAAAGCAAGCTGTGATTTATTTTATAACTAATGGCGCGCTGCGAGTTTATAAAGACCACTCTTGATTATATTCACAAACGAGACTGTCTTCCGTTTGTGGATCGCTAATTTCTATCTAATTCTGTTTAAGTGTATTTCGGTATGTTTTTCGGCAATCATTGTTACTTTATTTTATGGATTTGTAATTTTATTTTGACTTAAACAATATATTAATACTTCATAAAAATTTAATTCTTGCTTTTAATTACTGCACAGGACTCACGCCTTGAAATCCTGACAAAATAATTTTATAAAGGCAGTTTATAAGTTGATTTATTTAAATTAACTTTCTTGGTTTTGCGAGTTTTATCAAAACTCGATGATGTCAATGAGACTTAGTTGTTCTCCGAAGCCAACCCGAGACTGGTGCGTCCCTCGCCGTTTCTTTCTCTCTTTCGTTCTATTTTTTGAGCGGCGTAAATAAATATTACTTGAGCGATTAAATGATAATTCATATTTAATTATTTCTTATTTACCTGCCTGGAAATACTAGCATATGGATATAACTTTAAATTAATTTAATTTTAATTTATTTTTCCAAATCAAGTACAGTATTAACAACAACATTATTTGACCATATTACAAGTGCACTCGTCTAGGATTTTAGGCATTTATTTAGTTTGTTGCAAATAATATTTTTATTGATTTTTCACAGATTGTAATGCTATTAAAAAATAGTTAACAAATATTATATTTTTCCAATAGTAATTCATTCCTCTCTGCAAATTTTTTTTCTAATTTCAGGGAAAGTATAAAGTATACAATTCTCAATTAAAATTTGCAACTCCTTTTAAAAAAAGATTCGATTTTTTCGCGGTCTTATTGATGTGAGTTTCATTAACATAATGTCATGTCAACATCAGGCAGCAACCTTGAGGCAGGCATTATTTAGAAAATATTTTTTCGACACCCGCTTTACCATAAGTGAAAGTGCGCGTTTTTATTGAGTAGTTATTGATGATCGCTCCGCGCTGAATTGGAACCGTGTTGGGTGTGGACCGAGCTTGGTGGCTGGAACGAGAGGGGAGACTGGGCCGGTCGGCGCATTCCATTTCCACCGCCGCTCGCTCATTCTTTCCCGCTCCCTCGCTCCCTCTCTCTCCGAGCGGGCCGAGGGCGCCGAGGCCTTTGCCGCTCATTCCTTTCAGTCGTCTGAGACCCTTCGTCGAGTTCACTTCATTAGGATTCTTATGCTTCGGAGTCCCGATTCGTACTTCGTGGAATGCTCGTTGGTGTCGCCCTTGGAGTTAGGAACCAAATTTTAGCCCCCACCAGATTCTTCTGTTGCGTGGTCTTCTGCGATTGGGTGGTTGGTCATCTACGATTGGACGACGGCACCGACGCTTTCACTTCTCTTGAGGGGGTGCCTTGATATATAAAGGCAGGAAGTTAGGGGCAGGCAGGACTTCAACACCGAACTCCGGAGTGACTATCGCTGAACTGAAGAACGATCCTGCAGAATCGGAATTTTACCGTTTGTTGCAAAGGTACTTTTGTTAAGCCTGGAGCATTTTTACCCAAAATTTATAATTTTTAAAATCAAATCCAATATCAATAAATATCTATTTTAAATTTTTTGTTGCGGATTTTCATGTTCACTCAAATTTGCGTTTTGAATATTCCCTTTTAAACTCGCGCAAATACGAATTTGTTTTCTTTTATTTTAACTTTCAGTCAAGATTTGAACACCGACGAAATAATTCAAAATTTTCAACTCTTTCCAGAGTTTATATCCAAAAAATTTTGGTCCCGCCGTATTCCCCCTCGTCGTCTGCTAAATTTTTGGCGCACCATCGGTTCCGTGAGTTTGAAAACTTAAAAATTTTCCAAAACCAATTGATCAGAAATTTTTGAGCCAATTTCATTGCTAAAAATAAGCTTCTTTGCGTCGGAAAATTGCTACTCGCTGCGTCCGTCGCATTTCCCGCTAAAACGAAATAATTTCGTGAATAATCTTAAGTATGGCTTGATGTGATTTATTGGCTGCGCACATGCTAGCGCGCACATACTAATATCGATTTCTCGCCGAGCACGCAAATGGCGCTTGGCAGCCATGCAAGCAGAACCGCTTTCCTGATACAGGCGATCACGGTACGAATCTTAATTAAGCTATAAAAAATATGTGAAACGCTTTCTAAAAACGAACGTTCACAATGGTTTTTTGCTGGAATGATTTGTTGCTATCTCAGCACGACGAGACGGTGCGAGTTGAAAATTTTCCTTCACTCTAATAAAAATTACGCAGTTAAATGAAAAATGGAAAATTATTGGAAATAAATTACGAGAAGCTGAAATATTAATTGAAATCATCAATCGTGAACTTAATTTCGATTATTTTTATTATTTCTAGAGGTGCCCCTATTTTTTATACGAATTTCCCGATGTTACATCAGAAAAAAAATGCTCCAATGGCTTTCAAAGGCGGTACGAAAAACAGTCTGTAATTTATTAAAATATGATTGAAAATGCATCCTGTGTCTTCGATGAGTTGATGGTATTTTGTCATTTTATAAAAATGCCAAAAGAGGAAAAATTACCTCGCTAATTGACTAATAAAATTTAATTTCTTGTTCAGAAATAAATTCCAATCGTGCCAGGTGTGGAATTAAACAAAAATTTGTATTGCACTAAATTTCCAGGCTAATGCGCTTAGCAAAACCGAGCCACGTGGTTTATTGTCTCGCCACGTTTTCAGGTGTTCTTAAAGCATTTTTAATCTGGGTGCACATTTTTACTTGTGATGTGATGAAAATAAATTCCTGGCCTAGTAACGGGAAACGCTCGCTAAAGAATTCGCATGCATGCGTCTGATTTATTCATTCGGCTTCTTTCTCTCCACACTGGTCATTCTGACACACCTCCGGCGCATGTAGAAACGATAATTCCCGCCATTATCCGGATCAAAATCCTCCATCGACTGATATTCGTCAGAATTGTCTTTTTCCGCCTCTTCGAAGCCCAAAGCCAACTGCCGCGTTTTCCCAATTTCTGAAACGATTGGTGTGTTCGTCGGTATGGGAGGCACATCCAAGCGAGTTGACGAAAGCATGCTGGTGTTTGACCTGCTCATCCTGTCCTTGGCTTTCCCTCCAGACTTCCTTTTATCCTCAGTTTGCTTGGCTAACAAACAGCTTGCCCTTTTCCATCCGCTCGAATCCAAAGTTTTGGGTTTTGTTTGCATGCTGTCCATTAATTCTGGGTGACTGAAACTTTTCATCTCCGTTGCCGCCGGATGCTTTTTCTTTCTCTTAATGTCATTCACTTCCTGTTCTGTGAATCTCTGATTATTTCCTGCTTCCGGTGACACCAAATCCACCATCCCGCTTGCTTCATTTCGTCCATCAAAGCCCGCATGCTTTTCTCTCTGTCCGGAATCGTGGAAGTCCGACTTCATGCTTTTCAAAGCGCTGGTCATTCCATCTTTAAGCGCTTCCACGGAGCTATTCAAAGTCTCTATGATGCTGCTCATCTTCTCACTCTCCTTGCGAAGATGAACAATGTCTTGCGCGTTCACTCCAATCTCGCTGCCGACTGAATTGGCAAAAGTCTGGCCCGATCGGACCTCCTGTTCAAGCGCCTTGGCATTCAGACTTTCGCGTTTCGCCAAATCCCTCCACTCCCTTGCCTCGTTCTCCAGCATGTCGCAATTCGCGCGAAGTCTCGCGATCTTGTGCTGACCCTCTTCTGCTAATCGTTTTTGCCTCTCGCATTCTTGTTGCCACCTCGTTTTTTGCTCTCTCTCCGCCCCGAGTTGATCTTCGAGCGATTTTGTATAGGATGTTATTTTTATGATGTTCTCCTCCAGCTCCCTTAGTTGCTCCGCGAGCAAATCCTTCTCAGGCTCTCTTCGGAATTTCTGCTCCTTTTGACCGCGATCGACGTTCGCTTTAAATCTGTCTTTTGTTGAAAATACAAAACAATTTGGGTCCTCGGGTTGCAGCTGCACTGTAATTTTAGAGTTGACCTTGGAAAACACTTCATCTTCGCTGCTGGTATCACTATGGGTGGCTCTCCGTCTATTCAATTTCCGTCCCATGGCTGTCTAATTGATGAATAAAAATAAAATGAAATAGTGACAGATTTCTCCCAAAACAAAATAAAAGTATACCAATGCAAGATTTTTATGTGGAACCTTTTTTCAAAAAAATGCCAGCAGACCTGAAAAGCAACAATGGACTAATGGAACAATCGATAACTTTGAGTAACGATTTCAGCATCACAACAATGCAGTTGGTTTTAACTTGTTAGAATGTTTTAAGCGTCATGTACTAAAAAAATGTTTTTTTTTGTTGTGCGAGTAAAAAGTTATTTTTTGTCTCTGTAATTTAGATGGCAAGATTGTACTATTTGTACGTAATTTTTCTTATTTCGTCGTATTATTTTACCAAAGTAGTCTCTGAAATGGATGAGCAGTGCAGCTGCGGCCTTACCTGTCGCTGACTTGAATAATAGGAGATTCAACACAAAAGAGCTAATAGAAAAACCCCCTCCTTCTGCCATGCCGTTGAACTCTGCGAACGTTGTGTGCCTCAGAAAAATAGCCAAAAACACTTATGTACAAATTACTTTCATATAAATCCCAAGGCTTTATTTTTAAAAGCCAAATATTCTATTTGGCAAACAATTTTTTTTTTCTTCCAAAGAGGTTCGCCCGGTTTCAATTTTTCAATTTTAGTAGCAAAAATTGTACTCTACATTTCCATAAAAAAAATCGATAAATAGATTTTACAAGAAGAAATTTCATTAAACTTGAATGTTTTTGAAATGTCGTTTTCATGGTTTTTATTTATTTTTTATTGAATGCATTTTATAAATAAATGCTGTAATTTATATAATCCCCTCAAAATAATCATGCCAGAGAAGAATCTTGAGAATGGAACGTGAAGCGGATTGTAATTTTATTACCGCTGCTTAGAATATTAATGTTCTGTGCTGGCGCGATCCCGTTGCTTTTCCTGCGCACATGTACTAGGCCTGGAATTCTGCAGCACAGTTTTGATAGGAATTAACAACAAATATTTTATAAACGTTTATAATAGTAAATAATTCAAGATGAATTTAAATTTTTATTAAAATTAAGTTCAAATATCAATTTGAACACATCTACACATCATTATGTGAAAGCAAATTTTTTATCACTTAACTTTTAAAATTTAATGGGTTCAAAGTCGAAAGCGATAGTGTAGAAAAATTAAACAACTTATTTCATATAAGGCAATATTTTTATTTTTAAGAGTTTAAATGGCAGAGAGATTTTATTAAATTTATCAGAACTGGCAGCTCATGGCATATTCTTAGAAATTAATTGATCAATGTTCGTATCATTCTTCTCTGATAACTTCGGCACTTGCAGATAAAACAAAGTTGGTAGTCCAACCTAAAAATTCTTCTTCAATGACGAAACCTCAAATGATCTCATAATAATTTTACGGAAAAAAAAGTTTTCACCTGGTTCTTACTAACAAATCAACATTAATTTTCTGTTTAATTAAAAATAACAAAATGAGGATATGTATAAGTTGAATTACTTTAATTACTGAAATTTCCAAATTTATCCCCAACATTCTGCCCTTTACACCTAAAATTAATTTATTTCTAGAATTATTTTAATTTTATATTTTTTATATAACAACTACTTTTTCATACAACCGTATTAACCTGATGATTTTTTGTTTTCAGGCACTGATCACTAGATTGGAGCCACTATGGAGGAGGAGCCGCAAGAGACGCCCTCAGACAAGAATGACAAAAGTGTCGATGTAAGTCGATTGATCCTATTGCTAAATCTGCAAATTAAAATTATTTTTATGCACTGAATCAATTTAAACATGCATTTGCTTTTCCTTTAATTCAAACTTTAATTTTCAAAGTTCAAGAGTGTCAAGTATGTAGTGAAAATGAAACTTTTTTAAGACTAATGCCAAAATTAAAATTAAATGCTTCTTAGATTTAAAGTGATTGATTTTAATTAATATTTTTTTCATACAGAATGAAAATAAGGAAGCTGATCACAGTGCCTCTGAAGATGCTGCCAGAGCCCTTGCTGAAGCAGCCATTGGTCAGGCTCAAAACACAAAACCATTCCATCTTGGATCGAAGGCAAGCAAATTTTACATAATTTTCTATATTTGTATTTAACTTATATATAATGAAATTAAATTTTTTTCAAATAGCTTTTTTGCTATAATAATCAATTTATATTTAATCTTGTGTTTATTTACAGAATATTGCCAATCAGACGTTTGGTTCACACAAAAATTTGAAACTCTCGACCTTTTATGGAAGGTAAGCATTATTTGAAATCAGATTAAATTTACTACAAAAACATTTCCATCAGTTTTTCTCATAAATTTAGTATTTAAATACAAAATTAATTGATTAATTAAATTTTCCAGGGGAAATAAAAGAATATTTGCAGAGGTGAGGCGCAACCTACTTTCTGAAGATTTTACCTTGTGCAGCTGTCCAGACAAACTGCACGCAATCTCAAACGCATCATGCAACCTCAACATGATAATAGCAAGCTCAAACATACAACCGTCCATGCAGTGGATATATAATGAGATGCAAGCATCCCCTGGGATGGCCAAGGATGAAGACGCACTTGGAATTAAGACTGAACTGCCAAACAACATTTATGAATTAGAGGAGTGCGGTGCTGAGTCCTTCATGTATGGCAACATGCTCCTGGTGCCCGTACCTGCTGAGCTGGTCGCCAAAAAAGCGGACCAGTTGCCAAGAAGCGGAGCACGAAGATCAGATTCTGTTGATTCTGGATTCACTTCATCCAAAGAGCAAGATTTTGAAATGGAAGTAGTCCCACCGCCAGAACCAACTTCAGTAAAAGAGAGTGCAGCACTGGACTTTAGAAATCGTGACCTGAGAAGAGAAGCAAAACAAACTGAGCCCATCATTCCAAGAAGTGTCGAAGTTTTTTCCATGCATGTCACCGAATCAAGGAGTGTTCCTGTTAGAGGTGAACAAAGACAAGAAGCCCCAAGTGCAAGTGCCAGCAGGGCCGTCAATGTTCCTTCAGCTGCTCAACCTGGTATTGGACCAAGAGCAGCCAACTCTGCAGGTTCCTTTGTTGATCGTGACCCACGCAGACGGCCTAGAGGTTTAAGTTTGGACACTGCACCAACTGTGAACCAACCAGGAGGTAGTTAAGATTTTTCCCTTTTTTTTTAATTTATTGCTTTTTAATATTTTGCTTTGCGCTTATTTCATTTTGCTTATAAGATCTTGCTTGTGTAGATCGCAATGTGCCCAGACGTCAAAGTTTGGACGTTCCTCCAGGAGCGAGCCAAACAATAGGTAGAAAATTTAATCTTAATTTATTTCATTTCATCCACGATTTTGTTGATAGGTCATATGCATACATTTTTTCTTTGAACCTATTACATTTAAACCTTATTTTAGGTTTTCCTCGTTCAGAGCGCAGTGAGCATCTAAATCCGGGCGTGGACATACCACCAAGAGCAAACCAAGCAAGAGGTAGGTTGTCTTAGATATTGTTTGTGTGTTTTAGTATTGTTTGATTATATTTTAATTTATGTCATAAATTTTAGATATCGATGGCACAACCGTCAATGTATTGTTAGCTGTTCAACCCTTATTGCAAGATAATGAACATAACACATCAAACCCTTTGGCTGGACAAGCCCCGGACAGGCTGCTAAGTTTGGAAACTGTGCTAACAGTGCAAGAACCGACAGGTAAAAATTTCCACTCTGCTTTTCGTTCTTGATGCTTTTGTTGACATGCACTTGTTTGCATTGCTGCGTTTTGCTTTGCACTTATTATTATTATTTTTGCACTTTTTTAGACTTTCCGCCTGTAGATCCTCGATCGTATAAGGATGCTGAAAGGAAACCTGTTGATTTGAAAAGGTTTGCTCCTTATACTGCAGAAAACCCACGACTAGGTGAACTTCGACGATCAGTTGAGGAGCCTTTCTCCTCCATGTCACCCATTGATGAGTTTCTACAAGAGTCAATTGCACCACTGCCTGCTCCACCACCGCTACCACTCGCTTTGCAGCCTTTGCTTTTGCCATCTGCACTGCTTCCACATGAGCATGCCAATGATGATTGCCGCATATGTAATATTAGGGCCTTCAGTTTTGACACAGCTGAGATAGCAGGTACCTGCTTATTTGCAATTTTTTTTGCATGTTTTGTGTAGTTTGAACAAATTGTATTAAATAACATAAGAGATATGAAAATAAATAATACATTTTCCAATTTTAAATTTATAGGCGCTGATCCTGAGACGAGTTCATTAGTACCTGAAACCACCACCACCACTTTACAAAAAACAGCAGGTATGTTTTGATTAACATTTTTATTTTAAATAACATTTACTCCCAAGTTAATTGTAATTTTACCATTTTATACAATTTAAATTAAATGATTTTTCCATCACAGGTGCTGAATCAAATCAAAATGAAACAACTTCTGCCAGCAGTACAAATGAGCCTGGGGTGAATCCTAATCCATTGCCTGCAAATGGAGTCTCTAGTCAACCAACCATCGACGTAACTGCTCGTCCAAATGGTAGCAGTGCCCAGACCTCAACTATTTGCCCAAGAATTCCCTGCGCTCAAGCTGTTAAGTTTGCCAGCTATAGAGCACCTCCACTCAGAAAGACGGCACCATCACCTGTTGTACAAAAACCGAATTTCCTTTTGAAGAATGACGGCCAGAAAAAAGATGAAAAAAGCAGTGAGGAAAAGAAAAAATCCAGCCACTCAAGCATTGCAAAACGCTCAGGTGATAAGCCTTCATCTACCAGGAGTCGTCGCAAAGAGAAGTCAGGAAGCAGTGGTGAAGAGAAAAAATCCAGCCACTCTAGCATTGCAAATAGTTCAAGCTCAGGCGATAAGCCTTCATCTACCAGCAGTCATCACAAAGAGAAATCAGGGCAGTCTGGAAGTAGTTCGACCAGAAAATCCTCTGCATCAAAGTCCCATCACAGTTCTAGGCACAGTGAGAAGACAAAGAAGCCTTTGGACCCCTCAAGCAAGAAAAATACAGATCAAATTTCAACAGCTCCAGGTGGTGATGAGGAACGAGAGGGACAGCCGACGAGGAAGAAGCCAAAGAAATCTTCCTCAAGCAGAGGCGAGTCCTCCAAGGACAAGGTGGCCAAACTGCCTAGCACTGATGTAGATGTCCGGTCCTCATTGGATGTATCGAAATCTTCCACTAAACAGCCTGATTCTAAAGAAAAATCAAAGGATAGTGAGGCTGCCGCACCAATGCAATCTTCGGCAAACTGTCTTCCAAAAGAGCAGCTGAATAGTACTCAGGCTTCTTCGAAACCAGCTGTTGAAGTTGTTACGGACACCCATAGGCCAAAAGCCATCCAAATGAGCTTGCCCATCCAGCCAAAAATTTCGGCTGTTTATCGCAGTGACGATGAAAGGGAACAGATAAGAAAAGATTTGGTTGCTCAATTGATGGTTTATAGAAAACAAATTGATGAGGAGGAGGAAAAAGAAAAATTAATAAAACGTCAAATTCCCCTTGCCACAAATCAGCCAAAAAGTCCGTTGTCAGAAAACTTGAAAGACGATGTGCTTGAGAAAATGAAGCATAATTTCAAAGAAAATGAGGTTGCTGATGATGTAAGAAATAACCTGGGAGGGAAGATAGGCAAACAAAACACCGCCTGGCAATCAGAGTTGCTGTCACCCCCTTTGTGCGATCAACTGCCTGTTGCACCTCACTTAACGGAACTTATTGTAATGCCTGCCATGGGAAGTAGGTCTTCAAATCGTTCAAGAGGTGATGACAGTGATGAAGATTGGCCCAGAAAGCAGAGTAAGCGCTTGAGAGATATAAGCAGCGGAAGCAGCAGTGATGATACATACAAAAGGCGTTCTAAAAGAAGTAAAAATCAAAAGATGGCTAAAGGCTCGGAAAAACCCAGTACATCTAGGGGACCTGCTAAAAAGAAATCCAGGATTTCTAGCTCCGAGGACAGTTTCTCTGAAAAGGAATTGAGCAGTGACGACTCGGACGACCTGTTCCAGCCCAAAAAGAAAATTGTGAAGCCCCTTCCAAAATCATCCGACGATGACAATGTGGAAAATATAGAAGAAACGGATGAAAACTTGGCAAGCATGGAAGAAGAAGAATCCAATAAACAAATCTGTCGAGAAGAGGAAGATGCACCCATGCCGTCAGCTGATGATGTTTATGAACTCTCCGGGGATGAGATTTTCGATGATGATTGTATGGTCGTCGATATTGTTGAAAAGGCCCCTGCAAGCATCAATGATGTCTACAATGCAATCTTTCCCATGTTTCATTTTATCCAAGCATCTGCATGCCTTGACACAACAGCAGGCCAAGCCGGTCCTTCCTTCACTGGGTATTACACTAATTTGCCCAAAGCTCCTGTTGCCGAACAAATTGAAGAAGTGGAAACTGTAAGCATAGAAATTCAGCCTGGACTTATGAGAATTGTGGAGGTGGACAATGACATAGAAGTACTACCTACCAAGCCAAAAGAGCCTGCTGTGGTAGTTGATCTGGCTGATGTAGAGTCGCAAGAACTGAGTGGAACACCTGAAGCCAAGGTGGGTGAAACTAAGTTATTCTTATACTATTGTTAATATTTATTATTATATCTACAAAATTTTAATTTTTTTATATGAATTTAATATTGCATATTCATTATCTTATTCAAATTGCATTTTATTTTAAATCAATTCTTGTTGAAGAATTAAGTTTTGGTTAAGAGTGTTGTTTGTGCTGCTGGATACTTAAATTTAAATGTTTTGTTTCAGATTTCACCTGCCACGTTGACAGAACGACTGGAGGGTGGTGTCCAACTGAAATCAACTGATATGCAATCCACCCCTGCACCTCCTCCAACTGTTGTTAGCCCAGCCAAAGAAAAATCCATTTCACCAGTTGCCCGACAGCCTGCAAGTCTGACACCTATCGAGGCTCCTTTGCTCCTCGAACATGAAAAGTCCAGAGGGGAGAAAGAAGCAAGGAAAAGCCAAGATAAGCAGAGTGAAAAAACTCCAGAGCATGCCGAAGTTCACCGGTACAGACATTCGAGCAAGCACGGTAAAGAACACTCAGGAAAATCTGGCCATGACAACAAGGACGGTAGAGCCGCCAACAAGAAATCTGATGATCAAAAGAGTCGCCACAAAAGTGCTGAAAAAGTTCCTTCTTCAAAAGGTGCTGAAACTCAAGATGAAGAAAAGAGGAAAAGAGATAAAGAAAAAAGGCGTCAGGAAGAGCGGGCCGAGAGAAAGAAAAAAGAAGCAGAGGCGTCTGAAAAACGGCGCAAAGAGGAAGGAAGTGTCAAGAAAGGCCCTGAAGTTTCTGATAGGGATGCGGAAAAAATGTCAAAACGAGAAAAAGAAGACGACGACGCCGCTAGAAAATTGAGGCATGAGGTTGAGAGGAAAAGGAAGGAGGAGAAGAAGAGAAAAGAATCTACGACTGACAGAAAAAGCAAAGACCATATCAACGAGAAAACAAGCAAAGAATCTGAAGCTGCACGGCAAAAAAGGGAGGCCGAAAGAAAAAGACAAGCACTGGTTGGAGGACATCATACAAAAGGAACCTGCACCATGACTTCGGAATCAGTTGAAAATTTTCCTCCAATTACTCCAGCCATTGGGGTACAAGGCACAAATCCACAAGCTCCTTCGACAAGCGGAACACAATCAAATTCGAGGGCACAAATGGCCACCCCTGCGCCTGATGCTGGAAGAGTTGCACTGCCTACTTCGCAGATATCTGTCGTACGTCCACCGTCCGCAGCCCCTAATGGGACACCATCCACCATTGGGCAGCAGACGGGGAGGGTCTCTGCATGGCAAAAAAGGGAGGCCGAAAGAAAAAGACCAGCACTGATTGGAGGACATCATACAAAAGGAACTGAAGCTTCAAAAAAACCATTAGAACAGGAGGCTGGTAGAAACAAATTGACTGAAGAAGAGAGAGCTGTGGCTGCACGGAATGTAAGGGAGGCGTGTGAAAAAATTCAGAAAGAAATCGAGGAGAGAAAAGTAGCTGCTAAAAAACTAGAAGAAGAGGCTGAGAAAAAAAGGGTTGCTGCCGAGGAGGAGAAAAAGAAAAGAGAAGCCGAGCTGGAAAATGAGAGGAAAAGGAAAGCTGATTTGGAGGAGCAAAAGGAAAAAGAAACTGAGCTGGAAAATGAGAGGAAAAAGCAAGCTGCCGCAGAGGAGCAAAGGAAAAAAGAAATCGAGCTGGAAAATGAGAGGAAAAGGAAAGCTGATTTGGAGGAGCAAAAGGAAAAAGAAGCTGAGCTGGAAAATGAGAGGAAAAAGCAAGCTGCCGCAGAGGAGCAAAGGAAAAAAGAAGCTGAGCTGGAAAGTGAGAGGAAAAGGAAAGCTGATTTGGAGGAGCAAAGGATAAAAGAAGCTGAGCTGGAAAATGAGAGGAAAAGATTAGCAGCCGAGGAAGAGGCAAAGAAAAAATTGGCTGAGCAAGAAAGAAAGAGGATACAAGAAGCTGCTGAAAAGAAAAAGCAACAGGAAGCTGCAGCGGAAGAGGAGAGACGACGCAAGGAGGAAGCTGAAAAGGCAGCGGAGGAAAAGAAAATTGCTGCAGAGCAGAAGCAAAGGGAAGCTGAAGAGAGGGAGCGCATTGCAGAGCTGGAGAGAGCCACATTGAGCCTCGTGGATGCTGTAGAGGGACAGGACACAAATCAAGGACCTTCTTCGGCGCCGCAGTCTAACCAAGCACCGCAAACGCAAGGTCAGACTGGGGCAGCTCTGTCTGCAACTGAAAAGTATCCCAATGTTGCAAAACTTCCAATCCATGAGAGTGGCTTTATGCCTGAATGGGACCCTGATCTAATTAAGGCTGCCCAGCAGTCGCAATTTTCCAATGCCACTCGTCAGACATCTCCCTCAAGTGTGGTCGACTACTTGGAATTGCTTGGAAAGGAAACCAACATTTTCAATATGGGTCCATTGAATACAAGCTCTCAAAGGGAGCAGCAGAAAGGCGCAACTCACACTCACACGCAGAGAGTGAATTTCAAGGTTGATGTGAAGGCAGAAACTTACTCCAGAGAATTGCTGACAACCTTTAAACAGTTCGTCTCGTTTGAACCGTGGCTGAAGAACAGCATCCCCAAGAGCTGTGCTCATTTCGACCTGATGGTCAAAATAGTCATTCTGATCAGGCAAATATGTGAGCCGAGTGATCCAACCTTGATTTCCTTCTTAGAAAAGATGAGGCGCTGCTTGTCACCGGCAGTATACAGATTTTTGGTGGGAATCAAGAAACATGGCAAACAGACCTTCTCAATTCCAGGAGCCCAGCAGGCACCAGCAAATTGCTTCTTCCAGCCGTCGTCCAAAAGCGACAAAATGATCCTTGACGAAACACTGATAAAACTGCAAGATAGGACAATTGATACAGTTATCAAAGACAACCAGCTCACTTTGATACTTCCGAGCATCAGTAACCACTACTACTCTGTGCTTTTGGCTGCTGCTGTTACCGAATATTTCCAAAGTGTTGCCTCAAGACCAGCCGCTGCACAGGTGACCGCACCACAAAAACCATCAACGTCCAGACCCTTAAATACTTCAGTTGCCACTGACATGAATACAATCAGACAGAGATTTGCTTGCACCGTGACTTCGGAATCAGTTGAAAATTTTCCTCCAATTACTCCAGCTATTGGAGTACAAGGCACAAATCCACAAGCTCCTTCGACAAGCGGAACACAATCAAATTCGAGGGCACAAATGGCCACCCCTGCGCCTGATGCTGGAAGAGTTGCACTGCCTACTCCGCAGAAATCTGTCGTACGTCCACCGTCCGCAGCCCCTAATGGGACACCATCCACCATTGGACAGCAGACGGGGAGGGTCTCTGCACTCAACACAAGTGCAACGGCCGTGTGCAGCTCTCCTAGAGTAAGCCAGCCAATACCTTCTCCAAGCACAGCCAACATTAGTCCTCCTGCAAGAACTCCAGTCTCCGTCCAAGGTCAATCCTTCCAAAGCAGCAGCAATTTTGGGCCTGCGGAAAACAGGAGAGCTCTTCCAACTCCAGGTCAAGCTTTCTCTTCTGGACGCCCAGAGAGCGCAAGAATCCCTCCAACAAGGACTCCCGCACCAATGCAAAGCCCTGCTCCGATGCACACTGGCACTAATTACGAGAGGCAACGATCTGAGCCAGTGCAGAACAGAATTGCTCCCCCAACAACTCTACCGAATCCACCTTCTGCTGGAGTCGGCCATGGCCACCGTCCAGTTGCACCCATGACTCTTGGGCCGAACGCAATCAACATCAGGGTTGCTCCAAGTGGCGGAGAAATTTCAAACACCTTGAACACTTTTTATGTTGACCCAAGGCAGTCGTTCCTCGTCTTAACGCCAAGTTACCAGAATCAAAGCACGACAGCGATGCAACCTCCTCAGGCATGCCATCGTCCTCAAAACCTTCCGACGCCCTACCCGCTGCAACAGCACTACCAAATTCAACCACCCTTACCGCCGCCACCCCAACCCCAACCGCCGCCACCTCCACCAACACACTCTCAATTAGCAGCACCGCCGATGTCTGTTCCTGCCCAGGAGCCCTTTGTAGGCCCCATCTACCCGCTGCCCAACCACGTCCGACCGCAACCTTACGCCACTCGTCCAGCTGAACTCTCGGCCGAAGAACAGATTGAGCAGGCAGTTGCACGACAGCAGCAGAGGGAGTGGCACCGAAGAATGCAGAACCAGAAGCAGCAAGCTCAGCAGCAAAATTACATTCCACCTCAGCAGCCCATGCAGCCGCAGACCAACAATGAGGTGGTGAACATGGACATTGACCAGGACGAAAGCGACAATAGCGCTCGCATTGACATGATGCTTCAAAACATACAGATGAGGCCTGCAACACCCGCAACCACACAGCAGATGAATAAGCGGGTATGTAGTGAAAAAAGAACTTGCTAATTAATACGTCTTTTGATACTACTTCGTAAATCTTCAGTTCTATAATCATATAATCTTCGAACACATTAATAACTCTAAATTCCTTGTGTGCTTTTAGAACCAAATTAAGAAGTGCATCACTTGTCATGCGAGCAAAGTCATGATGAACCCCTGCCGATCAAACTGCAATTGTGGTGATGATTTCTGCTCCAAGGAGTGTTTGGTAAGTTTTATAAAATAATAACTCATTTCTCATTTAATTTTTTAATCAATTTAATTAGAGTATACCAAATTTAACTAAAATTTAAATTTTAGGATGCCTTCCCAGGACATGCCAGCAATCGTCAACAGATTTTTCTGATGTATCTCCAACAGCAAACAAAGGATGGTCCTTCAGAATCATGAGCTAGCTCTATTTAAGTTGTAATTTATGTTTTTCTGTATGTATTTTGTAATTAATTTAATTAATTCTTAATTGACTGTACAAATATGTGATCTCAAGTATGCAAATAAGAAATAGATAAATAATACTTATAGTTCTTGTAATGGAGCCATGACTATGGACCATGATCACAGTCAATACTACAAATTGTTCGTGCAATCGTCTGAGTAGAAAAGCCAAATGAATTAATAATCAGATGGGTTAATGTATGCCAATCATAATCTAACTTAATTGTAAGTTTCCAAGTTTTGTACAAAAATTAAATGTTACTTCTATGAATCATGAATCAAACATACCTGGCGTTTTAATTCATGCGTGTAATTTATTTGTACCTTCATCGAATGATATTTGTAGAAAGAAACATAATTTGTTTGAGTTGAGAGTTTGTAGAAAAATAGTTACTTTTCCAAATCTAATTTACAGAACAAGACTACCTAAACATTAGCATTACGCCTTCCTCTTCTGGCAGGTTGTGTTGAAGGAGTTGGTTCTGGAGAGGATCCCTTTTTCTGACGTTTGGACTTGCGCCGCATGTCTTGAGAATCGTCCAAGCTCTCCTGCGAGCTGGACAATGGGGATTTAGGTTTACTACCTCTCCTTTTCTTTGAGGTCACAACTTCTTCAACTATTTCCTCATCGGCGTCCTCTTGTACAGCATCTTCAGGAGTTTCTGGTATTGTCGTTTCTGTCCTTTTAGTTTTCTCAGGAGTGTTAGCCGCTTGCTGGGCGGTTTCGTCCAGTTGAGAATCATTTGACTCGGCCATTGACAAGGCCAGCGAATCTTCCTCCAAACTGTCATTGCCTGTGACCTTCTTTATTTTCCTCTTCTTGGCTGGGTTGGACTTTTTGGCCACAGGTGGTGGAGTTGGTGCCGAGACAAGAGCAGCAGGTGGCTGCATCAGAGCAGCACTTTGGCTGCTTGGAGGCGCAGGGGGCTGCATTGCTGGCTTGGCCCGTTTGTCCTTTTCATTGGGTTTATTCTTCTCAACCTCATGTGGTTTTACAAATTTGTTGTGGAACTCTCGGGGGTCAATAGCAACAGTTCTCGTACAACCATCAGGTTTGAAAACTCCGATCACTCTGCGTTCAAACAGGTCGTACATCTCCGCTCTCAGCGAGATCACAATAAACTGGCAGTTGACAGTGAATTTCTGTAATCAAGTGATGATAAGAAATTAACAACTTTGGTAATTTTTACGCTTACTTTGATGTAGTGCCCAATGATTGACACATTCCTAGTATCGAGGGCAGCATCGATTTCGTCCATCATGTAAAAAGGTGAGGGTTTGAAGTAGTGCAGTCCAAAGACAAGAGCAAGAGAGGATAGAGTTTTTTCTCCTCCACTGAGACGGTCAATTTGAGTCCATGCTTTGTTGCGGGGACGAACACTGAAAGTTCAAAATGAAAATAATTTCTAATTAAAAATTGTATGCCTCCTTTTTTTTACCTGAAAGCTATTCCCTCCAAGAAAGGATTGAAACTGTCTTGCAACTCAAGCTCAGCATCACCTCCAATGGAAATCATTCTAAAAACCTCCTTCAGCTTTTGGTTGATGATATTAAACCCAATCATGAATTCTTGGTAGCGATGCTTCTTGATGCTGTTAAGGAAGTTGCGTACTTCGTCTCTCCTGTTTGTAGCCTCTTCAAGTGCGTCACACAAAGCAATGAATTGTGTTTCCTTGCAAAAAAAAAATTAATTATAAGCACGGCGAGAGCCACAAAAACCTTACCTTAGCTCTGTATTCTTCAATGATGTCCAAATTAGGTCTGGTCTTTTTTATGACGTCCAAGAAGTTTGCAACGATATATGTGTATTCTTTAACATCAAAGTTTTCGAGTTCATCAGCAGGGATTTCTTCAAACGGCTTCTCTTTGTCTTTGCCAGGAATGTTTTCCAACTTCAGCATCTTGAACTAATACAAAATTTTATATAACGATTCAATAATGTGTTGCAAATTTAGTACCTTGTTTTTCAACTCTTTCAATTCTCCCTTCGCATTACTTAGTTCACTTGAGATTTTCTCCAGATCTCTTTCGACATCAATCTTCTTGCTCTTGATTTCCTTTTCGTCAGCGTGTTTCTTATTGAGTTCCTTTTTCAAAGCTTCATATTCTTCCTGAAGAGATATTTCCTTTTCCTGTGGACAAAATAAAATTTTTAAACAATGCAGAATTAAATTAATTTAATTTTACTCCAAGGACATTCTTCTCTTGTAACATGATCCTGGTGTCATCAGCAATGCCCTCTTTTTGTTTTTTCATTTGCAACAGTTCCTCCTTCATGTTGCTGATTTCCTCTTCCAAATCAGTAATTTTGTCCCTGCACTTTTCCATATTTCTGACAAAATATATAATTAAGCTCAAAACTAATAATGCTCATTTTCATTATCACCTCTCATTAGAAGCAATGGCAGCAGCAAGTTTGGTTCTGTCAGATTGGGCTTTGGTAATTTTCTTGTTTAATTCCTTCAACTTGTTGTCCATTCCTCCCACCGTGTTGATTCGGATTTCCTCAATTTCCTTGCGGAGTTTTTCCACCTCAGTTTCAATTTTTTCCGCAGCAGAACTGGCAGACTCCATGTCTAGAGGCAGATTTAAAATTAAGAAAATTGTGTGGCTTACAATAATTTACCTTTCTTGGCTTTTTTCAAATCTCCCTGAAGTTTGGCAACTTGGGCTTCGTCAGTTACATTTTTTTTAACCCTCTCTTGCTGCGCTTTGATTTGGTTTTCCAGATTAGGGATGTTCTTTGACAAGTGCTGGAAATATCAAAGCAAAATATTTTGTATCAATTTTATAGTATTCAATAATTTATATCTCTTCAATAATTGATTAAATTTTTATTATTTAATACCTGTATGTCCAAAACAAGACGTTTATGTTCTGCATCAAGCTCAGAAACGCTGTGCTGGATTTTATCCTCTTCCTTTTCAAGGGCTGCAATGCTGGGGATCAGTTTGTTGATATTTCGCTCCAACTCCTCAATATTTTGCTTCAGCTGAGGGGTTTGTTCCACTTGAGTTTCGTCAACGAGACCTGCAGTCACTTTTTGCCCCATGCCTCCTCGTCTGGCGCGTCCACCACCAGTCATGGCACCTGCAGATAAAAATCACAATCAATTTCATAGCATTCTATTATAAAAATCTACTTACCGCCGGGGTCAACGATGTTGCCGTTGATGTCAACTACCTTGTGACGAACACGGCCAAAGGCAATTCTGGTAGCTTGGTCCAAATTCTGAGCGACCAGTGTGTTGCGAACTGCAAAGTAGAAAGCAGGCAGGACCCTCTCATCTTCAACTTTGATCAAGTCAAAGAGGCGAGGCACATTTTCCGGAGCGTCAAAATGATCCTTCATTGTGCGAACAAACTTCTGCTGTTGCTCGAGTGAAATGAAACTGGCTTTGCCTAAATTTGCAGAGCGCAGGAACTGCATGCACTTGGCACTCGTTTGGACCTGAAGATTGTATTTTAGTTTAAAAGGGCAGGTAAATTCATGTAATAAACATACTGTGTCAACAAGAATGTAGTTCAGGTAGCCACACACTGAGGTGATGGCGCAGTCATACTTGGCATTGATTGCGCCGAGGTCACCGAGACGTCCGTAGACTCCAGGAATTCGTCCAGCAGCACATTCTTCTTTCAAGGCGTTGACCACCCGATTGTTGCTCTTGGCGCGTTCAGCAGCCGTCCGAGCACCAATGAGCTCCGCCCGGGTTTGAGCTGCCTTTTGTTCCAGTTGGGCCTTGCGAGTTCGCTCCTCCTCCAGATGAGCTTTTACTTCCTGCAGCCTCGACTTGGCTTTTGGAATGTCGGCTTTGACCACTTCCAGACGCCTGCAAGATTAAAAAATAATAATAATAAGCCAATAAAGACAAACTGTATTTTTGTAAATTTATAGCTCACTCTTGTTTCTCCTGTAGGCCTGCAGTACTTGCTTCAAGTGACTTTTTCAAGCCATCCAACTTCTCTTTATCCTGAGTCTCTGATTTTGTGGCCAAATCCAATTTAGACTGAGCAATTAGCATCTATCGATTTCAAACTTTTAGTTATTTGGTGGCAATTTATAAATATTAAGTACTTACGGCTGCAGCTTTTTCCTCTTTTGTCTTTGATAATCCAGCTAGTTCCTTTTCCAAACCAACCAATTGGTCTTGTGGACCCTGAACCTTCTGCTGCAACGTCTCTGTGGCCTTCATGAGTTTCTGCTCAAGTTCGGCCTTATCTGTCTCATGCCGCTGGATGTTTTTCTCAATATCTTTAATGTCTCGCTGGTTTCTTTCGGGCAACCCTTCCATTTCTTCCAGCTGATGGGTACAATTTTAAATAAGAATTTTATAGTTACAAAAATTAAACCTTTTTCTTTTCAGCATTCACGCTTTCGGCCTGTTTCTTCCTGCGGTTATTCTTGGCAGTCATGTTAGCAGAAATTTTGCAAAATTCAGCATCTTGCTCTTTGTACTTCTTGTCGATTTCTTCACTTTGGGCTTTGCAATCCTTGATCAGGCTAAAATAAACAGGTATAGCCATTTGAAAATAATTAAAGATTATATATTTTACTCTTCTTTCTGTTTTATGCTGCTCCTTAAATCTTTGCTCTTTTCTTCAAACTGTGCCAGTTCTTCCTTGACCTTATCAAGTTCTTCTTTCTTGCCATTAAACTCTTCCTCCCTGCGAGCTATTTTCTTGGATGCCTTGTAACTAATTCCAAATGTTTCTGATCAGTTTTCTTGATAGAAATAACATAGACTTACCAATTCTTTTGAAGGGTAAAATGAAAAGCCCTATTGAATTTGTTTTCCTCTTCCAAGTATGCTATGGCAGCGTTTTTCCCGTCCTCCAAATTAGCAAGCACTTGCTGAGCATTGTCTGCTTTATTTTTGTGCACCTCTCGATGTTCTTCCATTTCAGTGTCAAGGGCAATGGCTTTAGCCAATGGTTCCTGTTAAAAAATATTATCAAATTAATCTTATATAAGTTAAAGACATTAGACCAACTTTGTATCTCAGAGTGCCGATGATTTCCTCTAAAAACTCCAACAAGCCAGTGTCATTTTCGTTTTCTGCTTTTGGTTTCATCTGAGCAATTTGCTCAACTTCTCCCTATTTGAAATAAAGTTTTATTATAATATCACGTTTCATTCAATTTTTATTGAACCTGCAAAATAAGGAAGCGTCCGTTGGTGAGATCGATTCCGTGTCCTTGCAATTTTACTGCGATGTCTTTGAATTGAACTCGTTTGCCGTCCAGTGTGTAGTGAGACGAGTTGTCCCTGAATGCAAACCTGGAAACTTCGAGGTCAGTCCCTGGGATTTCCTCAGCGTCTTCTTGAGGCCCCTTTGGACACAAATTTAATATTTACAAAATTAGCACTAGCATTAACTAAATTTTTACCTTATTGTCCAGCACTTGTATGAAATTGACAGTCACTGTGCAACTGTTGCAATTTGGAAATTGAGCAGAGTTGTGAATCAACATGGATACTTTCTTTGTTCTGATCTTGCTCGCTCTGTAGCCAAAGACGAAGAGGATCGAGTCAAGTACGTTGCTCTTTCCACTCCCATTAGGTCCAATGACAGACGACATTCCCTGAAGAAAATGTTTATAAAAAAATCATTTTTTCCCAAATTTAAATTTACCTTGAAGAAGGGGCCAATAGTATGCGCGCCATGGAAGCTTTTGAAATTGTTGACGACAATGTTCTTGATGATCAACCTTGGTCCTTTGTTGTCGTACGAGCAGGTCGAGGGTGGTGGCGGCGGAACGTAAATGTCCCTGTACTTTAGAGCACCCTCAGGGATTTCGTCAGGAATCTCAGAATCTTGATCCCTGGCCAGCGAGGTGTCGGCAGCATCGTCCTCATTTTCCTCCAGCTCGGGATGATCTCGTGCAAGACTGTTTTTTCGTCTTGCTGCGACCACAGGCATTTTCGGGCTATTCACCGATCTGGAAATTCCAAACAATAGAAAAACATGCAAAACATAATTTTGAATAATTCTTTTAACCTGTTTTATTTTCCAGAGGAAATTCTGATGGAGAATTTGAATGATACTCCAAGTCAAAGTTTCTCAACAGCTTCGGATGGAAACGGTTTTTATTTATTATTTTGTTGGCGCGAAATGAGAGGTTGCTGAAGTGCATCTCAGTGACCCCTGTGGAAGGCTATCGGTACTAAAATCGAGAACTCCAATGGCGGCCTGCGCAGAAGACACATTCGCCCTAATTTGTGGGTACTGCGCAGGTTCGCAAATTGAAAATACACGAGTGCACCCGAAAACCGAAAACAACGTGCTCCCGAGGCGTCCATCCATGCGGCTGAGGCTTTTAAACTAATTTTTTCTTGCCGATCAACTCAAATTACTCACATTTACGATGGTAAATTGCAAGGAGAAAAAGAAAACGAAGAGCAAGAATGGCAAAAAGCAGATTCTCACCATCTCCCAAGAAGTGGAGTTCGTCCAAAAGCTGGCTGACAACGATGTCCGCATGCGGGACCGTGCCTTGAAAAAGTTGAAACGCTGGTTGCAGGACAAGACAAAGTCTGATGGTGAGTTTTTTCAGTTTTTAATGTACCCCAATTCTCACGGATTTGAATTTTTAGGCACTTTTTCCAAGGAGGACATGATGATTCTTTGGAGAGGACTGTTCTATTGCATGTGGAACTCAGACAAACCTATCATTCAGGTACTTTAATATTTCGTCAAATGTTGCTGACAACGATTGTTTACGTATATTTTGAAAATTTATCATTTGATTGATTTTAGGAAGAGCTCTGTGATAACATGGCCTCTCTGATTAACAGCATTCAGAATGACAGGGACGTCATTCTGTTCATTGAAGGATTTTTGCTGACCGTGCGTTACGAGTGGATGAATATTGACAGTTTCCGTCTTGATAAGTACAAAATGGTAGGCCTTGAATTTCCTCAGCTGAAGAGTTTGGGACAAGGTTTTAATGTTCAACTATTACAGCTCGTTAGGAGAGTGCTGCGTCTAATGCTGTCCAGGATTTCACTGGATGACTGGAAACTAGTCAGCATCTTTGGAGACTTGATTTGGGACAAGATTCTCAATCCAGGCATGTTTATCAGATATATTATTTATTATATTTAATTTCTTAACATCTTTTTGGTTCTTTAGACAAAACTCCTCCACCACCAATTGGACTTTCTTTGCATATTTGCGAAATTTTCTTCCAAGAAGTGGCTAAGGTATTATTTCTCAGTCAATTTTTTAAATTGGATCTCGAATTAAATGTTTGTTTCAGAATTCCAAAACCAATGATGTAACTCAGATGGCTGTGGAAGCGCTTCTCAAGCCCTTCATTATATGTTTGGCTACTAACTCGACTGATTCTCGGTTGCGTGATGCAATTGACGAGTCCGTTCTTGGCTATTTGATTGACCAGTCTGATGTTGGCATTGAGCAGAGTGAAAAAATCAATGCTTGGAAACTTGTAGGATTGTAATAATTAATAAAAAGAAGTTGAGAATTAATGTTGGTTTGACCTAGATGGGCTGCCCTGCTATAACTTTGGACCAAATTGAGAGAGATGAGGCCGAAGCTGAGGATGAAGAAAATGGAAGTGATAGTGATGAGGATGTTGATGCTGAAAATCTATTGGATCCGAGAGCTGGTCAGATGGATGTAGAACTGCCTCAGCTTGATTTTGACTATGCTAAGATGGCCAGCATGATTGAGAAGTTCTCTCAAGTAAAGAACTTAAATTCAAAAGCAAAGAAAGCCGTGAAAGCTGCAGCTAAAAAGTAAAAAAACTACCTTCGTGTGAACACTTAATTGAATTTTAATTTCAAGATTCTGGGATTTGGCCAAAGATGTCCACCCCGTTCCATTTGAAGTTCCTGTGAAAGAGGAGGATGTGAAAATTCTCAGTAGGAAGCCTAGAAATTCCACTAAAAGGGCTGCCGAGTCCTTGATGAAGTTTGAGGAAGACCTGTTCAAAGACACTGGTAAAATGCATAAGATGAACAGAAATAAATCCAATGTGTGTGATGAGAGCAAAGAATCACCCCCACAAGTTGAGCTTGTGAAACAGAAGAAGACTCCTAAAATACTCAGCCCTAAGGTAAAATTTTGATTCGGTTTTTCAGTCATGTTAAATTTATAATTTTTCAATTAGGCTGAAGAGCCTCCTGTGAAAAGGCGCAGGAAGCGGTCTTCGTTGGGGCCAATTGGCAACTGGGAAGTCACAGAGGTTGGCAACTGGACAGTTACAGAGGTGGGCAGCATGTTGGTCACATCCCCTGGCAATGTGGGCCATTGGAATGTGAGTGTTGTCAATGAGAAGGTACCTGAGGAGCAGTCTACGCCCTCTTCGGGTGACAATGATTGGAGCAAACCTTTGAAAGATGGCGAGTACGAGTTCTTCGTAGCTCCGAAAAAATCTCCTAAGAGACGAAGCCTTTACAAAGCACCCCCAGATGAAGAAATACTGGCTGAAAAGCACTCGCCAACAGATATAGTGAGACTTTTTAAGCTATTTAATATGCAATTTTAACCCTTTAAAATTTGACAGGGTAAAGAAAATTTTCAACGCTCACCAATGATGTTTGTATTCAATGCAAAAGGTCCAATCATAGACGAAAGCCCCAAGTCGAGGAGGATGGAGACCAAAGAAGCTGTTGATGAATCAAACTCTCCTTCAACTCCCATCAGGAAGGCCAGGGTGTCTTTACCTGCTAACACAAGGGCTTCAGAACTCATCAAATGTGCAAAAACTTCTAGACCTAGAAATGTAAGCCGTTGTTTTTGTAAAATTTTAATTAATTACATTTCTTCTCTTGCAGAGCTTGCTTTTACCAGCCCTGACCAACAGTGCTCAAAGGAAGAGAGTCAGTATCTGCCTTGATCGCAACAAAGCCCAGGGTAAGATACATTCTTATAAAACATAAAATACTACGATCAAAATAGTTAATGAAATTCCAAGCTTATTGATCTATTAAGGAGGATTTCCAATACTTGCCTGCAAAATGGATAAGTCCGTGGAAAATAATAATTGTTGTCCAATTTTTTCAGAGGTTCATGAGTATGTTCAGCAACTGCGAAGCAGCCCCAACAATCCCCATGACAGTGAGAAGAAACCTGTGCAGGGCTTACTGAAGGGATCGCCCGTACCGTTCAAGAGAATGATGGAAAAATTCAAAAATAATATTTAATTTTCAGCATTGTTTCCAACTTTTTACCAATGCTTAGTGGAGAATTCAAGCATATGTGTAGAGAATTTGCTGATTAAACAAGATATTTTTATTTTAAATTAAACTTCCTGCTTCTTTTTCATCTTAATTAAAACCTGTTCTTATTGTTGTTGATATCGATGGTGCTGCATACTATGTGATAATGCAAATTCTATAAGTATCAAAAATGGAATACTGTTGAAGAAATTGAGAGTATACTTGATTAGAAAATATATTTTTTATTATTAAATTTAGCAAACCCTGATTTTCTATCATTCGTAGAAGATAGAATATAGAAATAATAAATATTATTATTTCAAAAATTTTAAACCCTAATTTTTTTAATCATTACCAAAACCTATGAAGATGGCCATACGCTGTTTCTGTTTACAATCAATTTTCATTGCTGCATAGATTCCTCATTTAACAGCATCAGGAATAAAATATAAACGAAGAGATCGGGCTTTTCCTTGAAGCAAAAAATTGTTTTTATTCAAAAACAGAATGGCCCTATCCGGTCAAGGTCTGCGACCCTATTTCATGAGCAAACGCGCTGCTCGGCTGACAAATACAAGAATTTTTCTGCAACAAGGAAGGAAAAGCCCGATATCTTCACTTCCATGATCATCTCCTCGAGCGTCAACTTCTTCAAAGGAATATAATGCTTTTGAAAATAATATTATGACTTCTGAAATATGTGAACTATTGACTTTATTATTTTTTGCCCTCGCGCTGATAATAAAAGAGCGCTTGACGTTGTTTATCAACACTGTTTCCTGCTTTGCCGTTTCAGTTGACGCTGAGCCATGAGGATGAAAAGTCTTAATCCTTTTGCTTCATTGGCATTGATTTCCATTTTTGAGGTTGTGTCATCGACAAAAACATGCAACCTTACCAGCGATTGCAAAATTTTGGAAACATCAGTCCTCTATCAAGAGGCAAAAGTGGGAGATACTGTAACTTTCCAGTGCATAGGAGTTTGCAACAATAGTAAGTTAAACTTAAATCTTACATCATAACATCAACAGTTTTAGAGATTGGAATTTTAGGATTTAAAAACTGCGTTTCTCTTGTTTTATAGCTGAGCTTATTTTATTAGATTATATTTTCACTAAAAGCGAAAAATTTCAATTTTTTTTTTGTTTAATTGATGTATCTATTATTAGTATTATTAATCTCGGTTGAAACAAAAATTGAAAAAAAAGAGAAGAAATTCTTTTTTGTGAGTGAAGAAGCTCAGCATTTTATTTCCATAATTTTATTATTAATTTCCCCAAAATCTGTGGCGAAAAATTTTACATTCAAAAATGATCCATAAGTTCGTATTTTGTATTGTATAGTGCCAAGTTATTTAGCTGTGTTATTTGTAGTTTGAACTTGCAGATTTAAACGCAAAACAAAGCTTAATTAATTTGAGATGCTGATTTTTTGAATATTTATAGACGATAATAGTTGGGTTAACATCAGCTGGACTTCCGAAAAATGGATTGAAAATATGCGTTTATCAGGAATAAGGAAAATGAGGTATATTTTTGTTTTACAATTTTTGAATTGCCGATGTATGAAAAATAAACGGTTGTTTACAAATACTTTTATTTTAAAGTATTACACAAATAAATTGGATTCTTTTTGAATTAAAAATAAACTAACGCTTTCTTCTTTAAGCATTGGCGATTGCAACGTGCTAAGCCTGAATCTGACAATTCACGTCACTAGCGAGAAAGATTTTGAAAATAGTTTGAAATGCCGAATTCAGGACGAGTTTACATCCACATCGTCTTCGGAAGTAAAAGATGCTGTATTAAAACGAAAAAGTATGTTCTTGTGGCACGAATATTGAACTCTTTAAAAGAAATTCCTTTATTACAGAGGACCCTGAAATTTCCTACTGGGCAGGAATTATTGTGGCCATCACTTTATTTTCCTTTACACTTTTCGCGGCAATACTGATGTACGTCTTTAACCTGGAATTGAGGCTAATTTACAAAGACAGATTTTCGTCGCTCAACACCAACGGTAGTAGAATTTTTATATTAAATATGAAAATCAAGGAGCAGCTAAAAAACAAAAATCCTTACAGGAAAGTACGATTTGTTCATATGTTACCAGTCAGACGAAGAAGGTGAATTTGTAGCAAAGTTTATTTTGCCCTGCCTGGAAAATATTTTGGGATACAAGTGTTTCATCGTTGATAGAAACACCGCGTGCGGGGAATGTGGGTTTTTAAAAATTTCAAAATAAAATGATTATTTTAATTTTAAATAGTATTCATTCAGGGTTGATGGACGTTATTTACTGCAAAATAAAGCAAAGTCGGTGCTTCTTACTAATCGTTTCTGAAGGAATCGCTCAAGACACGCTATGCAAATTTGCATGCGAGCGCGCTGTAGAGGAAGCAAAGGGGCCTAGAGGAATGAAGCTCATCTGCGTTAAGCCACCGACACCTAAGGTAGATATAAAGATGAATATAATTTCGGTTTTGTTTTAATTCTTTGATCTATTATTAGCGCAAGAAGTCGCGATTGGATACAGAATTGGAAGAAAATTTTGCAGGAATTGAACCGTTGAATATGATTTGTAAGCTCGGCAGACAGATTCCTAAAGTCGATCCGAAAGAGAGCACAATCAAGGAGAAAAATCGGTTTTGGAAGAAATTGTGTCTCCAGTTGCCGGCCAAAAGAAACTTGGCATGGCTCAAACTTGGACGTAGAGATAGAGAGATATTTATATAACAATAAGATATCTTATGAGGATGAGAATTACATTAAATTTGTATCAGTGGGGTAGTTGCGCAGCAGAGTTTTAGCTCAAAATTGTCGGTTTTTGGTGGATTTTTGATGAAATAAAAATCAATTTCTAAAAATCGTTTTTAGACAGTCGCCAAAAGGAAAAAAATTCCTATAAATAACTGCCGATAAATTAAATTTTGCATTTTTTTTATCGAAATGATTTTTTTTATCTCATTTAAAAAAAAAATGTATTTAATGCAGGACCAAGGTGGGTTTCAGTCGACTCAAAATCGCATGAATCGTGCACATTTGACATTCTTGGAGCTCTAAATATTGTGGAAAACCATAATTGTTATATCCCTTTATCTAGTTTATCCGAAATGTAAATTTTTAAAATTAATTTAATTAAATTAATTTGCAACTAAAACGTTTTACTCATTTTTATAGTACCTGTTAATATAGTGTTATTATTATTGTTGTTTATTTGTCCACATTGTTGAATTATTATTGTTAATATCTAGTTTTATAAATGAAAACATAACTATTCGAGGCCGTTATTTTTTGCAAGTAGTTTTAAGGTGATTTTTTAATCAAAAATGTAAAGTTTTAGCATAATTTATTATTACTTTTTAAATTGTTCACGTTTAATATTATTAAAAGATTGAAAGTGTAGATTCGCGTGTTTTACTAGTAGTGCCTATTATTAGCTTATGAACCCAAAAATATTAAAAAAAAAAAAAATAAATTGGGTGGTGCCTTCTGTACCACCAATAAAGGGCACAAACCGACAAGACTTTGTCTTGGCCTGACCCTAAAAATAAAAAATAAAATAAAAAAATTATTTCTTACTTACGCTTTTGTTAATTCTAAAAAGTTTTAATTAAATTAAACAAGAATAAAAAATAAATATGTATCAATAACACATACAAAACTTTAATTTATTCCACAAATTCGCCGTTGCAAAAATTTAAATGAACACAGCTGCAGGCTGAGAAGGAGTTGTCCTTGCTTTTGTCAATCATGCTTCTCAGCAGTTGATTTTCCCTGTCGAGTTTCGAGGTCATCGCAATGGACATTTCAAGGGTCGAGTCCATCTTGCGGGCACCCTTGGCGTACTCCTGCACTTTCCGTTCGAGTTTCTTGTTTTTCTCGCGCTCCACCTGCAGGTCGCGTTTGCTCTCTTGGATTTGCCGCTCGACGTTTTCCAGGGTGGCCAAAAGCAGCGCGGTCAAGTCACCGGTCCTCTTTTTTTGACCGCACGAGTCAACGTAGATTCGGTTCTGCAGGGTCTTGTCCGAGACGACGACGGTCAGCGTTCGGTGCCACGGCTGCTCTGCAAAAGTGCTGGCGATGAACGACCCGATCAAACTGCACAAAAAATGGGACGAAGGGACACTGGGCATGACATGGTAGCTTGTCCAGTGAAGAAGTTTCCTGTATGCGAGACAAGTTTGAAAGTCAACATCAAAACAATAGAGCCAGTATTCAACAATTCTGTTCAACACTTTTCCAACAATAAATTGTATTACTTTTTTTAATATTCGTTCTTATTGTTGAAATAATATGTTTCACAACACACAAAAACAAAGCATGTAATGAAAAAAGTAGGGTTTGTTTTCATAAAAGAATACTTGTTTATATTCAAAATAAAAAATTCAAAGAGAACAAAGCCCAATTTCTTTACTTTCATGTTTCCATGATCTTCTCCCCAAGTGCCAATTTCTTCAACAAAGTATTTGTTTCTTTTAGTTTTTTTTATTATTATAGGTATTTTAGGAAACAAACAATAACTCTTCAATTTAGTTGTTTTTTTAATAGATTTCTTTGCATACAAAATTGTTGAGCAAATAAAAACATTAGGTTATGGATTTTTTTTATACTGTATTAATATTATTTACTCTACTCAAGTCCTGCAATGTGAAAAACAGTTTTCTAGCTGGTAACAAACGTCTCTACACGTGTTCACGAAAAATTAGTTACTCTAAGAAAGATTTTTTTAATAAATTTTAAATTTAAAATTATTTATAAAAATTTGACATTAAAAGGAAACCGGAGGATTAAGCTCGCTGTCACTTCAGAAACGTTACTTTGATTATTTATTTTATTATTTTAAATTTATTAACTCAATTTTTTACAACTTCGTGCCTATAGGTAACATGTTTATATAGGATCTTTTGAGTGCACATTAATTCATGACAGATTTACCATTAGATTACTCTAATGGATCCCTTTCCCGCGGGACCGGCACCGTTTTCTTTAAGAGCAGCGGGAACGGGTCTGGACGCGGGACCGAGAAATTGAAGTTAGTTGCAAAGACAAACCAGTTTTCAATTCCCTGTTCTGTCAAATGAATTTAGTTTCAAGCCAAGTCAAAGTTAAAAGTTTTTGAATAGCATATTTTTCTAATCGCAAACTCTTTTTCGCACATTCTTTAAGAAAAATATATATATATATATATATATATATATATATATATATATATATATATATATATATATATATATATATATACATAGTCGTAAATAAGTTGAGAAATCAAGACAATATTTGGAAATTTGAGGATTCATATAAATTAAGCAACCCGCAGTACATACGAGTAGTGCTATTTGCATAACACGAAAACTGGACGATTAATAGCTGATTGCAGGAATCGGGACTCGGGACGTATCCGGGAATTTCGTTTAAGGCACTCCCGGAAACAAGACCAGACTCGGGACATTGTTTGAAAAAAATTCGGGAACGGGACGGGAAAATTTTCAAAAATTGGTCCTGTCAAACACTCTACTTAAAACGCCGGAAGTTCCAATAATAAATCATATACACATAAGATATAGAATGGTTCTCTAAAACTCCAACAAGCATGGGAGACATAATTTTTTCATAACCAAACACATGCGCAGCTCCGAGTTGAAAAAAAATCAACTTGGCGTGCTTCTTTTGTATTGATGCAAAAAACGTTCAACAAGAATTTCATCGCATTCCTTTTCCGCTGGGTGGTATATTTTTCCTCCTTCTGCACCACATATTTGAATTTATTCCTCATACATATACGCACCAAAAGGGAATACGAAATTCTTTTGCGGTCTCTATGTGGCGGTGGCCCAAGAATTTATTGCAAGTTTGAAAATAATATTTTCCACTTAAAAAGTTCCCCTGCGCGCGGGAGCTATAAAGTTGTGTGACTTATTCTGCTTGAAAGTTTCACTCGCGTATCAAAAACAAGCAGACGCAAACCATTAGGGGTGCTCGCGTTTGATACATGAGTGCGCGGAAGTGTGTGTGTGTGTGTGACTTGGAGGAACAAAGTTAGACACGAGCAAAAATATGGAATGTTTAGTACTGCACCCTCGGCTTTTTGCCACGCGTGCGTCTTTGAATATATACGAGACGCGAGTTAGTTTCGAGATGAAATTTCGCGGAAGAGTTGAACTAGGCAAGAAATAATGCCGGCGTCGTTTTACATGAGATACACACACACTCGCGGAAAACTTTGTTAATTAGATATGCCTGCGAAGAAGTTGCCAGGATGCTCGAGAGTGGGAGGAGATCCGAGCTAAAATGAGCACGGATCTCAACTTTAATTACAAAGTGTTGTAGCAATTATCTTGGCGTGTGCTGTAATGTGTTAAAATGTTTTCAAGAGTATTTTGGATATATTTTATCAGCTCAAAGCTTATCTCGGGACGTAATATTATTAACATGAAACGAGCAGATTGTTGTAATATGTGCAAAGAAATAAAACGCAATTATTAATTAAAATATGTGCATTAAATAATGTTGCAGAAATTAAAGTTATAAAATAATATTATTTTAAGTATCCATTTATTCTCCATTCAATGCTTGGAAATGCACAATATCAGCATCTTACATTAAATCATAGTAAATTAAATTATAATTCTTGAAAAAAAATTGTCATAGTTGATAATAAAAAATAATTTTGGAATTTTAAGTTAATGAAAATTATTATTAAACTTTTAATTCAAGAGACATTTTCGATAAAACTGTTATAAATGATTATAAATTATTTAAAAAATTTATTTTAAATGACAAGAAATAATGTTAATTCTTATTTCAAATTATTTTTTGACGCTTTTAATGTATTTAACTAAAACGCAACCTTTAAGAATCAATGAATAAAATATATTGACACTTGACACTATCATGAGATCTGACAGAGCTGACGTATAAAAGAGTTAATTTAAGTATTTAAATGCAAAATTATAATTTATTACTCTTATAAGACAACGAGCGGAATGGTGCAGCATGAGATATTTCTGACTTAAATTTGCAAGACAGATAAAGGATATAAATTATCAATATTTCCTTGCTGCATTAAGCTTATTCAATCTGTCAATTTTCTGTGCACAGCTGATTTTCTTTAGAAGAAACGCGCGCTGCTGCTGCTGCTTCTTATCGCAGACAGTTCAAAGCCCAAGAAAGAGTTCACGCAATAAAATATATATAATTTTTTTTTCATATCAGTCATGATTAATATCGCATACTCAATAATAAATTGTGTGGGTTTTCCCTTTTCAAGGATGGAAAAAGTATAAGCTACGCAATAAAAATCCCTAAAAAATCATTAATAGAGCAATTTTTCAACAGATGCGATGACGGAATCAATAAATGCAAAAATATTAAATTCATTTTAATCTTATTATTTAAAATTTGTGCAGATGAATTTAAGTTTTGAATATGCGTTTTAAGTCAGTTTCAAATCTAACAATAACAAAATTAATTAAATGCTAACACTGGAGGTGGATGTCATGAACAATTATAATTTTAAAAATAGACGCCAGAGACTAAATGTAAATTTTATTTTTAAGCTTGTGCATATACCGCAGGAATTGTGGTCAGGACTTAATTTTGATAACATGTATTGTGGTTTGTGGTAACAATCAGATTGCATTAAACAAGGAACTGCTTTATTATTGTTATTGCGAAGTTTAGAAATAAATTCAAAATTTACACTATTAATTGGATTTTGATTTCAAGTAAAATAAATGTAATTATTTTTCTTAGTAGAAAACTTAACATGAAAAAAATAAAAATGAAATCATAGTAGATGGCTTGACTGGCGTTTATTTGAGCCGAGCCTGAAAACAGTGACAAATTTCAGAGCAGCATCTGTTTTCATCTGGCGCGGCTATGATAACAAAAAGGGCGAATCTCGGCGCGCAGAGCTATTATTTGATGGCTAGATGGAAAAGTTTCCAGTGGGTGCCCAAAGTGACAAGTGGCGAGGCGAAAGCAGTGGATTACCAGCGCTGGACGCCAATAAGCAAGAGTAACAAGGCTTGTCACCACCGTTCATGTCACCCCAAATGCACTCGCCGCCCAGTTCGCGGCCGAGCATGAGTAGAAAAAGAGAGCGACCAAGGTGGTCTGCGGCGCCAAATCGAGCCGCGCCAGCCAAAAAGTGTAGCGAAAACTGTCAGCACCCTTTTTTGGGATAAAAAGAGTAGAGAGGAAACGAACGTTTCCTGTAGGAAAAATAAAATGAGCGATTTCGCGTGTGGTATCAAATTACGATCATACTTTCCTTATTGACTTTCCTTATATTTTATATTTTTTAATCACTATAGAGTGAAATGTTACATAAAAAGTAGTAAGCTTTGAATGAGAAATTCACAAACAACGGTAAACTCTATAATTGGAATTAGGCTTTTCTTGGATTATTTTAGTCGTTTATTCAGCAAATCAATCTGAAATACATGTTAAAATTTTGTTAACAAAATATTTTCAGGGTAAAATTTTAGATCGGAACTGATTAAAAAGAAAAATGACTTATGAAGCATCGCCACGATTTAAAGACTCATTGCGACGCGCCTCATTTGCAACAATAGTAAAAAAAAGAGAGTAAATAAAAAACAACAAGAATATAACGATTCAAAAATTTGAAAAAACTCGTCTTTGCTATAAAATTTATGAGTATGAACAAAACGCCTCAAACTATTAAAAAAGAATTGAAGATTTCATTTATTAATATGTACTTAATTTGCTAAGATATTTAACAGTTCACGGATGAAGACTATAAACTTGTGGAGCAGGATATATATTTTTATCGTGTAAAACGATAAACAACTCTAACGAATCCATTGAGGACAACCCGAATATCAATTCAACATAAAAACAAACTTGACAGCCTATTTTTTGTTCAAGCGATAAATTCCCTAGTGCGACTGAAGTTAAATATTTCTGGCTCTGGCGCTAATTTGAAATTCAGATTTCGGAACGGTTCGCTCTGTGCCTGGGAAAAATGAAAAGTTGTGCAATTTATGGCGCGGCACGTGTTTGAGAAAGGGGAGTTATGATAATGCACCCCTGTTCTCTCCAGCAGTTCGCATTAAGGGTAGTTATCTTAGCATTTTCTTTCTTTCTCTTCTGAAAAGCTGAAAAGTGTCCAACTTGAGAAAAATGAATAAATTTCAAAT